AACTTCCCCTTGGCTGTGGTTTCAGTTCTGCGTTTGCCCCCCAAGCAGGAACCTCGGGGCCCTCCCCAAAACCTCACTGCCAACCCCATTGGCTGCCAGGGCCACTAGCATCAGCAGAGCTGCCCAGGTAGAGCCATCCTGAGGAGAAGTGTGCAGCCACATCTCTCACAGTCCCTTTTTCCTGCCATTGCACCCAATACTGCATGCTCAGGGCCTTACTGCTGGCTCCATACAGCCCCATTGCCTCTGCCTCTTCCTCCTGCTCTTTCTCCTCTGCTTCTTCCCCTAGGAAGTTCTGCTGGGCCCAGCACTCAGCCCCAGCACCAGTCTGCCCAACACTGACCCAAAGCATCCCTTCTCCACTGGCAGGCCCATGGCTGTCTTTCTCTACTCAGAGCTGAAATCCAAAACCATCATCAGCTGCATCAGAGCCCGTGCACCTGACAGCAACAGGGATAGGGGTGACATACCGTTTGTGGGGAGGAGAAGTCAGAGGGGACCCAGATCGGGTCCTTGAGCACCCATTTTCTCCTAGTGCCTTTCCTTGGGCCTCCCTTTTTCTGCCCTCTCTTCCTGGCAAGGCTCTCCCCACCCGCAGTCTGTCACGATACTTTATGCTCAAGACCTTACTTCAGCTTTCCTCCCTCCTATATGTCCCCAGCCCGCACCACCAGGAGGGGCCCAGCTCAGGACCTCTGGGCCCCTCTCGACACATCCGCACCAGTCCCATTGGTGGAGAGCCACCGCTGTGAATGCTGGGCTGAGTGTAAGCATGGGACACTGCAAGTTCTTCCTCCTCCCACAGTCACTTTTGGTTTTGCTGCTTCAGCCTTGCTGCCTGCACCATGCAGCCCTGTCATCTCTTCCTCTTTCTTCTGCTCCTTCTCCCTGGGATGTGGGCAGACCCAGAGGGTAAGTAGGAGCCCTGGCTCACCCCAACAGCTCTCATCCCCCTGTCAGTGAATCCCACACAGCCAGGCCACTGTCCACTGCATGGGGGGGATGATCCCCAGCATCAAAGGGCCACCTTGCACCGCACAGCACCCAGCAGTGCCCTGTTCCAACCTACCCTCTTTATTCCTGCCTCCAGCTCAAGGCTTCATGCTGCACTGGCTGCAGCAGAGTGGCCCAGATACCCAGGCAGAAGTGAGGCCAGGGGTCCCCAGTCAGGCCTGGGTGTTGGGGTTCCCGCAATAGTGCCTTCCTCCTGCAGGGAGCCTGTGGTTCCAAGGGTGTCTCAGCTCTTTGTGGTGCTGTGGGCCCCTTCCGGCAGACCTTTTTTTGTTGAGGAGCTGCACCTGTGTAAAGGCGTTTCAGGTGCTGCTGTTGCACACAGCATTTCACCACAACCCTGTGAGAGCTAATGTTTCTGATGGTGGGTAGCAGGCGGGGAGCAGGCATGAGAATGAAGGACTGATCTCTGGGCTGGGCTACTCTCCTGTGCCTGTCAGCATTCTGTGTCCTTAAGATACCGATGCTGAGAGACCCCAGACTTGTATGAAATGCCCTTTTCCCTTCTCCATCCTCCACATCCTCTGTGCTATGTGCAGGTGTCTGGCAGATAGGGGTCCTGGCATGGGTGCTGCTTCTGGGGGGAGCATCACCCCAAACGAGCACCATCTGCTCTGCACAGCCAGATAGCAGGTGCTGGGCAGGAGGGAGGTGGGGACGAAAGAGGATAAGGTGCCTGAAATCGTGTATGGGAGAGAAACACCACATTGAAAGTAAAACAGGGAAGGAAAAAGAGCAGTGGAGGCAGAGGAAGTTCAGACAGAAAAGTAACTCTGAGTAGGCTGAAGAGCTACACTTCACAGAATAGCACATGCTTTATAGAATCAGAATAGTTTGGGTTGGAAGGGATATTAAAGGTCATCTGGTCAAATCCACTGCAATAAGCAGGGACATCTTCAACTAGATCAGGTTGCTCAGAACTCCATTCCAAACTGCCCTTGGATGTTTCTGGTGATGGAGCATCTACCACCTCTCTGGGCAACCTATGCCAGTGTTTCACCATCCTCATCATAAAAAATTTCTTCCTTATATCCAGTTTGAATCCCCTGTTTCCACTCCAGACCCCCCACTCATCTTCTCTTTCCTGCAGCCTCTCCCATCCCCACCACCCCAGCAGAGCCACAGGTTCTTCAGCTGCTCCACACCGGTGTCTTCACCATCAGCTCTGCTGACATATCCGTGGTGATTCTCCTGGGGGATGTGGCCATCTTGTCACTGGATCCTGGCAACTGGAGCATCTATTTCTATTGGCCCTGGGCCAGCCAGGCCACAGCCGAGGGTGATGCAGAGAAGATCATGTCCCACTTCAAATTCTTTCTGCGCAATTTCATCCAATATGTACACGAAACGGCCCAGCAGGTGCAACTGGACTGTGAGTATGAGGACAACCCCACCCAGAGCCTCAGTCATTTCCCCGGGCTGTGGCTGTGCCCTCATCCCCACTGGGGTGGCACTTGTGGAGTCTCATAGGGTTCAACAGCTCCTGAAGCGGTAATTGGAAACTCTGTGGCTGCCAGGGCACATGGCCAGCAGGGCTGGGCAGGACAGCACACCAAAAAGACCCCTCAGGCCTCCTTGTCAGCTGGCATGGGGGAATGCCTCTGTGCACCGAGGAATGGCCACCAAATTTACTGGGGCTGCCAGACCCACACAGCACAGATCAGGGAAAAAGAAATTTGGGGACAAATACTTGGCGGAACAACATTCTGTTTGAGCAACCATCCCATGCTAACTGTGCCTGTGCTCACTCCAGCCTTCCAAGGGCACTGAGGGCTTGCAGGGTGTCCTGGGGCTTTCTGAAGCATGGCCTCATGCTGCTGCCTATTGCACCCTGCTGCCCATCACACCCCATCACACTGCTGCACATGCCTCCAGCTTTGTGCACCCATGTACCACACACTCATGGGACCTCTTTACTGGCTCTTCCCTTGGCAGACCCATTTGTGATCCAGATCCGTGCGGGCTGTGTGCTGCACCCCAATAAGACAAGCTGGGGCTTCGTGAATGTTGCGGAGGGTGGCAGAGACCTCATAGCTTTCAACATGGAGAAGCAGCACTGGGAGCCCCAGCAGCCATCCCCACTAGCAGAGCTGACCAGCTATGGCCTCACCAGCAAGAAGGCCATCACAGTGTTCCTGGTACACCTCCTCTCCATCTTCTGCCCAAGCTACACCCTCACCCTGTATAACTACGGGAGGGCTGATCTAGAGAGACAAGGTGAGACCACCGTGGCCCTGGCATGGCCACCACAAAGCCCCTCCTCACACACTGGGGCCAAGCGTTGTCCCACCAGGGCTCCCCCAACCCCTTTGCTCTTGCCCTCCAGAGCCTCCCCTGGCCACAGTCTTCGCCCTCACCCCCAGTGCAGCCCAGCTCCTGCTGGTTTGCCGTGTCACCGGCTTCTACCCACGGTCCATCAGTGTGGTGTGGCTGCGGGATGGCCAGGAGGTGCCACCGGGCCCGGCTCTCAACACCAGTGCCATCCTGCCCAATGCTGACCTCACCTACCAGCTCCGCAGCGTCCTGGCTGTGGTTCCCCATGACGGGCACAGCTACGCCTGCCGTGTGCGCCACTGCAGCCTGGGCACCCACAGCCTCCTTATCCCATGGGGTAGGTGCCATCCATGGGAATGGGGCACAGGTTGCAGGTAGCAGCCACTGGCCCTGCGAGGGGCAGCTCCAGCTTGGTGCTGCCACAATCACAGGGCCACCCTCTTCTCTCCCTGTCCTAGAAAACCTCAGCACAGCTCCAACCATCAGCATCATCATCTCAGTGCTGCTCCTTGTGGTCACAGCCTTTGCTGGGGGGATTTGCTGGTGGAAGTGCAGGTGAGGTCTCCCTCCCACCATCTGTTCTTTGGTTCATGGGCAGATGGGTAAGGCCAGGGGTTGCAGCAGCAGCAGCTCTGCACAGATGAACTCCCCAGCCCTGAGTTCATGATGCCTCCCTCCTTGCAGGAAAGGTGCCGAGTCCACATGGGAGACCCAGTAATTCACCATTTGAGACCTGGCTGCCTGCCCAGCAAGGATATCCTCACCAACAGCTCTCCAAGCTCATGTCCCATTCCTGATGCATCAGCCCCAACAGGGGTTTGCTCTGGAAAACCACTGCATTAAACAGCTACAAACTTGCCCAGCTACACATGGCTTCTGTGGCTCTCACCCTCCTTCCCTCTCATGAGGTCACCCAAGGAAACCGCCCAGTGCACCACAGAGACCCCACATTATGGCCAGAAAGACTATCTACTCCTGACTCCTGTCCCTGCAAAAGCTGGAGTGATGGGGAACAGTCACCCTCCAAGTATGCCTGATGCCTATGAAAAGCCATGGTGAGGCTCTGGGGGACTCTGTATTTAAGTGACATGCTCTCAAGGTGGGTGCAGCAGGTTGACCTTGGCTAGCTATCAGGTGCCCACAAAGCTGCTCTATTACTCCCTTTTCTCAACTGGACAAGAGAGGAGAAAATATGACAAAAGGCTCATGGATCAAGACAAGCTCAGGGAGATCACTCAGCAATTACCATCACAGGCAAAACAGACTTGACTTGGGGAAATTAATTTAATTTATTGCCAATCAAAATCAGAGTAGGATAATGAGAAATAAAAATAAAACTAAAACCACCTTCTCCTCCCTTATTCCTGAGCTCAACTTCACTGTTCACTTCTCTACATCCTCCTCCCAAGCGGTACAGTGGGTGTGGGGAATGGGTATTGCCGTCAGTTTGTTATGCATTGTCTCTGTTGCTCATTTCTCACCACTGTGCTCCAGCATGGAGTCCCAGACACAGCAGACGCCCCTTCATGAACTTCCCCAACATGGGTCCTTCCCATGGGGTGCAGTCCTTCGGGAGTGGACTGCTCCAGCACAGATCCCCTGTGGGGTCACAATTCCTGCCAGAAGATCTGCTCCAGTGTGGGGTCCTCTGCAGAGGGCCACAGGTCCTCAGACTCTCAGAGCTACATGTCTTCTTTCATGTTACACAAACTCAAACGGTTTGTGTAGATTTGGGAGCCCTAGGGCTGGGGCTTTCATTAAGGTCTATTTAATGCGATCAAAACTTGCCCTGAATTCTGGAGTCCATTCTAGGGGTTCTTCAGGACTTTTGGTTGCCACATGTAATGGTTTTGCAATTAAACTGGAATTTGGAATGCAAAGGCGACACTATCCAGCCATTCGCAGAAATTCCCTTAGTTCTCTTTTAGATTGCAGGGAATGTAGCGGAAGTAGAGGGGCTTTCTACAAATGGGTTCTTTTCTGTCATTTCCCAGTTTTCGTTGTCCCAGGGAAATCTCAAATCTGAGCTAAATTACAGCCTGTTTTGCAATTTGTACTTTCATTTCTGACAACACCTGACCGTTCATAAGAAATTTAGGAGGCTAACAGTCTTATCTTTACATATTTTAGCAGTATCTACCCCCAATAAAATATCATCAGCATACTGCAGGAGGGTTATTTGACTTTCCTTACCTGGCCACTGCTCCAGCTCCTTAGCCAGGATTGTTCTAAATATGGTCAGGCTGGTTTTGAATCCTTGTGGATTCAACATAATCTGGTAAAGCTGAGTCCTCTTCCCAGTCAATGGGTCCTCTCATTCAAAGGCAAAAAACTTCTGACTGCTCTTGTCCAAAGGTATGCAAAAGAAAGCATATTTTAGGTCTAAAATAAAGAAATATATATTTGATTCTTTAATAGTTGTTAATAATGTGCATGGATTAGGGACCACTGGGTTTATGTCCTCTATTAATTGATTTACTGCTCTCAAGTCTTGAACTGGTCTATATCCTTCATTATGCAGCTTTTCACTGTAAGGATGGTAGTACTACGTTGGGATTGACAATGTCTCAAAAGTCCATATTTAAGGAAATTATTCACTATTGGCTCCAAAGCTCTTCTGGCTTCCCTGATGATATGGTATTGTTTCCTTCTGGCCAATCTCCTGATTTTAATTCAATTTTTACCAGTTCAATATTTCTTGCTTTTCCCGGTTTTTCAATTGCCCATACAAAAGGAGTACCTGCATTCCTAATTTCTTTAGTAACAACTTCAGACTTCTCTTCTCTGTTTTCTGTTTCTGTATGTAATAAATATATTTCAGCTTGCCAAGCATTAGCTTTAGAGAAATGAACTTGGAACTTTCAATTTTCAAAGTTAATTTGTGCTTCTAATTTTTCTAATAAATCCCATCCTAGAAGAGGCATTGGGCACTCTGGTAAGCACAAAAAATCATGCATCACTGTCTTTTCTCCAATTTTATATATCAATGGTTTTTAGAATGGTTTAACCTCTTGCTTTACCTTGGCTCCAACAACAGACATAGAAAATTTACTCGAGAGTCCTTTACAAGTACTTATAACAGAATATTTTGCTCCCATATCTACTAAAAACTTAAGAGTTTCATTCCCCAATTTTACTGGAACCAGGGGCTCAGATGAGAAGTTCTCTTTTTCTACCCCAGGTCTCTGTCATTCAGATTCAGTTCCAATCATAAGTAAATCAGCTTCAGGTGGTAATTCCTGAGGCTGGCTAATCCTTTTATTTTTTGGACACTCATTTTTCCAGTGTCCTTGCTCTTTGCAAATGGCACATTGATTGATTCCTCGGGATCTTATCATATTCCCACACACAATTCCACTGCCTCTTCTTCCTGTCCCCCTAGAAAATCCCTTACCTCAAGCTGACACATGGGCTTGGGCAAATGCAGCTGCCAAAATTGCAGCTTTTTGTTTTCTGTCTTTTAACTTCTCTTTTTCTATCACCTTTTTCTCTTCTTCTTTTTGATTGTTATAAATTTTATTTTCAACCTCAATCAATTGTGATATGGTAGCAAGTATGGATCTCCTTCTGGGACTACAGCCTGGCAAAGACAAGCCAGTAGTACAGGGTTTTGTTGCTCTCAGGTTCTCCCTATTATATAGGACTAAAATTACAACTCACTCTGTCATTCCCATTATGACTATTCCCACTATGTGGAGCTGCCAACATTCGTAAACCTTCATCACTCCATTTCAAACGTCTTTTTTCAGTGCTACATGCTGAACAACAGCATGAATCTGTATCCCTATCTTCCATCATCATCTTTGTCATTGCATTAGAAACAGAACTTTACATTTTCTTTGAGTTTCACAATAATTTTTTTAAAGCAAGGTACTTATTAACATAAGATACTTCATCCCATTTGTCTTGATATCAACAAAAAAACATTAATTGCAAAAAATTATTATACCTTAATGATCCTTTCATTTTTTCCCATCTCCCAACTTATATGTAAATAATGGCCACCACTTATATGTAAACGGCCACCATTTACTACAGTATTAACAATTGCATTAACAAGCTGTTCCCTTGTTAATGCATCTCCTCCAAATTTTCCCCTCCGTTTCACAATACACACAAGAGGAGAACAATAATTCATTTTAGATGTCTGAATTACCGTATTTTTACCCCCAAACAACATTCTGATCCACAACTCTAGTTGTCACTGTCAAAGATATGAATTTTATCTACTTTATCAGCTATTGTCCAAAAAGCAGATTTGCACCTGGTGTGCAGTAACCCAATTCCACACGCCCAGGAGAGATACTGTGTTTATTCAGGCCTGGGTGCTCAGTGGACTGTTCCACAAATCAAGCACACCAACAGCAAGTTTCAGTGCTCTTTTACAGTCAAAACTCATGCCTGCTACATACAGAGTTAGGCCCCCTCAGGAGACACTTGAGCCTTGCTCTCCCCTTCCGCCTTTTTTCCAACACAGGCACTGGTTGCAGGTGCTCCCGGGTTTCAGGACATGTCTCCCATATAGGGACTGTAGCAAGACTGCTTGGTACACAGATTTGTTAAAAAAAAAAAAAAAAAAAAGAGAGAGAGAAAAAATCCTGTATTGCAGAATCATAGAATAGTTACAGTTGGAAAGGACCTTAAAGGCCATCTACTTTGAATCCCCTGCCCCTGCTGTGTTATGCTGGGGTGTATCACCACTGTTGAGATCGTGATTGTTCATGTAAAGGTTTTCTAGGGTTTTTTAAAATTGCATTGACAGCCCTGCAGAGAGGAGAAGTGACCAACATGGTATGGAGAAAACCAGTAACTGTTTGCCCTGCCCTACCTTGTCCTGGTGTTTGCACTGAGTTTGTAACAAGGCAGGAGGCATTTTAAGAAAAGTGCAGTGAAAACAGAGGTGGAAGTGCTAATGTCACCAAAGAAATTAACATTCTTGAGGTGGTAATATACATGTTGTTTTCTTTTATCCATGGGAGGATTTATTTCTGGTTTTAAGAACAAAAAGACATCTGAGCAGTTTGTTTCTCTTTCCGTATTTCTAAATAGATGGAAATTTAGAAGGAGTAACTGACTGCAAATAAAAACAAGCCTCTTATCTTTCTGTAACCTTATATAGGAAGTGGGATGGACTGTACTAAATCAAGCCTTGTTTGGAAGTCCATGTAGGTTAGGTGTACTGAATAGGGAGACCTGATAAAGCCCTCCCTTCTTGAACAATTTTGCCTCTCTCAGAAATTCTTCAGCAAGAAACAAACTTTTGATAAGAAACTGACACAGGGAATATCTTTGATGGGCTCTTACTTTCTTTGTACACATGAATCAAATTGTGATTTGCCAAGGCTTCCTTAAGACAGTTCCTAACCTAGTGCACCGTAGTAGAACAGCTAAGTATTATGGCCCCTAAATATTTTCTATCATTGTCTGTATTTCAACATGCATGTGCTCTGATCATGTATCTAAGTTTTGTCCCACTAGATTTAGACTTTTATTTTTTGGTCCTATTGGTCATGGCCTGCTGTCAACAGCTGCTAGAGTTCATAGAAATTACAAAGGAGCAGAGAGGTCGCCAGAGTGTACATCATTTGCTCCGCAACCTGCAAAGCACTGCACTTGTATACCATCCACCAATTCAGCTCGGGGGTCCTGCTGTAAGGATTTTCCTGTACCATGGTAAATCACAGCAAGCCTTCTAATTATTTGAGGAAACCAAATATG